ATGACCACAATTGAGCCCAAAGTTTCTGTTGCTAAGTGACATATTTGTTAGGTGAGTTTTGCCCTATTTACAGCCTTTTTTGCCACAGTTGTTAAGTGAATCACTGCAATTGTTCAGTTAGTAACCCCGGTTGTTAAGTAAATCTGGCTTTCCTGTTGACTTTGCTTCTCAGAAGTGCACAAAAGGTGATCACGTGACCCCAGAGCACTGCAAATGTCATATATATGAGTCAGTTGCCAAGCATGTGAATTTTGATCACATGCCCATAGGGATGCTGCAACAGTCGTTAAGTGTGAAAAATGTTCATGTCACTTTTTTTCAGTGCCATTGTAACTTTGAATGGTCACTAAGTGAAAGGTGGTAAGTCAAGAATTACCTGTATAGGAACTGAAACAATGATCACTAATGAAGGAAAACAGTGCCACTAACCAATCTCAGATATGTGCTCACCTTTTGGGAGTTTAATATGATAAGGTGTCTTTGGACTCACATACAGTGATGGTGTTCAAGATTATACATTATATTTTAGGAAAAAATAGGTGAGGAGGTCCTCCAGCAGATTGCTGTGACGTGTTTGCCACATTCACACTTAGTTTGACTTCATGTAGAAAGGGTCTAGTGAAAGGTTGAGGACAATAGAGGAACATTCTCAGATTCTTTTGAACTTGTAAATACCTAGAATTGGAACAAAGGCCTCTTGTTATCTGTAAACTTGATCTATGCTAAATGAAGCTTGTTTTTGCAGCTAGGAAAGTTGAACTGTATGTTGCTAGAATTGGGAGTGATTACTGTAATGCTTAATTGAAAAAGGGACTAATACCTAAGAGGTGCACCTTTTGAAGATCCCATCTCTCAAATCAGCTACTTTGGACAGCCTTTCAAATAGTTGTTAGGCAGTGTATTGGAGAAAGAAGTGGAGATTCAGCTGCAGGGACCTTGAGGAAGTGGGTTTTCTGAATATTCTTCAGACTGGATGTAGGAGAGAACCAGTATTGATCATGCTAGTTGATAATGTTGTCAGACCTTGAGTAGAGGGTGTGCATCCCTCTTGATTTTTTAATGCCACTGAATATTCTTTTGGATTGTCTGCAGGAATTGGAATAGACTCCCTGTTGCACATGGGTTGTTTCTTCCTAAGTGGGTGATTTGAGTTGATGTGTCCGGGATGGAGTGGGGGTGAGTAGTTAAACCTGACAATATTTCAGTTTGAATAGGGTTTGTTTCTCACAGTTATATAGCTGTCTATTTCACAATAAAGGGACTCTAGGTGGCTTGCAATAAAAACAATCATAAATCCAAATGTTAAAAGTAATTACAATTAAAAACATCACCTATATTATTATTGATAGTAGAGAGAATGCAATTGTTCAGTGAGATGGACACATGGGCACTTGAACACTCATATAATCATAACAATGATTTATGTGCCATCAATTTCCCAAAGGATTCAATGTCATTTACAATACCATTCAATAAAAATGCAGGAACCATTGACAGTCTAATTCATTAGGGCAGTTTAGTATCTTGAGCATTGCTCTCCTTAAAGATTCCAGATAGTCGACCTAGTTGGGTAGGATAGACCGTCCTGCAGAAAACTGGAAGTTTTTTCACCATGGCAGCTGCCCAGTGGAACATCATCACCCCTCACCTCCAAAATAAAACAGACCCTCCTTGACATCCTTCCAGAGGTCCCTTAAAAAGCAGAAGCCTGGGATCTCAAGGCAATGGTGAATTGATGAGATGGCTGCATTGTTTTAATATCAAATCTCAGCTCCCCTGTTGCAGTTGTGCCTTGGTGTGAGGAAGGCCCTGGGAAGCTCAGTGCCTGCTGGCATGCAGAAACCTGCAATGGGCCAGGAGCCCCACTGGTACATTGGTCTTCTTCCTGCTATTTCACTCTCTTGGAAGACTTGAGCCTTCTTCCTGCTCTACCACTTTCCCAGAAGGTTTGGATCTTCCTCTCTCCATACCACTACCAGAATGTTTTGTCCTTCTCTCCACTTCACCAGTCTTGGAAGCCGTGGGAGGCTGCAGAGTCTAGGAGGCAAAAAGGGCATAGATTGTGGGGAGACAGGGAGGTAGGAGTAAGTGAAGCGCCACTGTGGTCATAAGGGCAAGCAGGTTGCCAAGCACCTGAATTTCGATTATGTGACTTCAGGGGCACTGCAATGATTGTAACTTCAGAAATAGATCATAAGTCCCTTTGTTCAGCACCTTCGTAACCCTGATAGTCATTGAATGAATGATTTTAGGTAGAGGACTTCTTGCAATCTTTGATTATTAGTTTACCTTCTACTGTAGATACAAGAATTATAAAATTCTGGTACTGTAAACAATCTTTTATAAAAATCTTTCTATAACAGAACTTTCAGAAATCATTTTGGGAATTAAAGGTTGGGTAGCAAATATATGACCATTTTTTAATGCATAGATACATCTGCATATACATCCACATCCCTTTCAGGATAAGCAAATAATATGAAGCTTGAAAAGGAGTAAGAAATAGCAAAAGAAATTAAACGGATGAGATAAGAGGAAAAAAGAACTATAGCTAAATCTGTATGGTAAATGATATATGACATAATTGTTAAGAAATAATATTTTTGCCATTTTTGGGGGGAAACACAAAGACCTGGGAAAGTATTTTTAATTAGTTTTTATGAGTTTTTTTTTTAAAAAACACATAATTTCATATTTGGAAGGAGAAATTATATTTCTGCAGCAACTTTGGAAGGGCCTCCCTAAATAGATTAGTGAGACATTTGTATTTAGACATGTACAGTTGTTTTTTCAAGAACTCTGGAACATGCTGAAGGTGGGAATGGAGAGAAAGTTTTCTGGAACTAAACCTTCCAGAACAGAAGATTCTGAATAAAGTCTCATATTTGAAATACCCCAGAACATCTGGAAGACTGTTGGACGTATTAGGTCAGAAGTGCAACTTGTCGCTTTTGATCTAAACATTAATTATTAAAGATGGCACTTGGAGGCCTTTTCAAGCTCTTTGGGATTTCATGAGATTAGCATACTTTTCATACAGGTAGTTCTTGACCTATAACTGGTTGCTTAGTGACAGTTTGAAGTTACAACGGACTCCCTAAAAGCTATTTACAATTGTTTTCAAAATTATAGTTGCTGCAGCACCCCCATGATCATTCACCCTTACAACTGACCACATGGATGCTGCAGAGTCCTCTTTGCCTATCTCCCCCACCCATCCTGCCCTTCTGCGGTCCCCACAGCCCTTTGGCCTGCTTCCCAACCCAGCCACTTAGCCATCTAAGGGAGCCTCAAGCTGACTGGGAAAGCTACTGGTGCACACAAGATTGTTGCAGCTTGCAGATCTTGTTCTGCTTTCTACCCTGGCACAGCCACGCATAGACTTGGTCTGCTTCTCAGACATTTCAGGGCACAGCAGCACCCAACTTACCTTTCTTATTTGTACAGCTTCTGACAGTGCTTTCCTGCTGAGGCAGCCTCGTGGCAACCTTGTACTATTCTGCAGGCAGTTGTTATTCTTGCATTCTAGTAGTGGGCTCCATTTTTGAGGAGGCTCAATTTTTCCTTAACTGGGAGTTGGGAAAACCTGAGGCCTGCAAGCTGCCTCTTGTGTGCTCGTAGCTTCGCATTTGGTTTGAGGCTCCCTTGGGTGGATGGGTGGAAAGCAAGCCTAAGGCCTGTGGGGGCCCAGTAGTAATTTGGAAAGGCCTGTGAGGACCCCAAGAGGTGTGGAATAGAGCACAAGGTTTGAGAAGCCTTGGAAGGTCCAGGGCAGATGAGCCTGGGCTTGTACTAGGTCTCCCAGGCCTCCCCTACCGCTGAGGCATCCTTGTTCCACTTAACAACCTATGTGATTGGTTCATGTCTGCATTGGGGAAAGCAGGGATGGGGGCACCGCACTTAACAACCATTATACTTGTGACTATAATGGGTAGGCACCATTACGGTTGTAACTCAGGACTACTCTGTGGAAACCAATACCATTGCTAGAATTAAAGGGACTGGCTACTACAGTGTATTCCCCCACTGTTTTATGTCACTGTACTATTCCAGATGTATTTGAAATAGTAATATAAGTTTATATTATTGCTGAATAAAATATCATGAGAGTAGAATTCTAATACCGCAAATAATTCTGAATTACTGTTCTTAGTCCAGCACTCTGGCTCAGTATCATATTGTTGTGTGATTCCTACACATTATACTTTTTTGTTCTTTTAGTTTAATGATCAACAAGTAACTGTCAGATCTGTCTTCTAAACAGTTAATTCCACAGTTAATGACATCAGTAACATCAGAAGTAGAATTTATTGGTCTTGAATAAAAGCAGGAATGATAGTAGTGAACATTCCCTCTAGCCTAAGGGTGTCAAACTCACATCGTCACGGCGGCATTACGTGACATTTCAGGACTTTTTCCCTGTTTGCTAAACCGGCCGTGGGTGTGGCCTGCGTGTAACGCATCCAACCTGGGGGCCGTGAGTTTGACAGCCCTGCTCTAGCCCATTAGAAGGAGTGTGAATACCTCAGCGGAAGATCCAGGTTGGTGTTTGCTTTTAAGATGTGTGGGAAGTCTCTTTCAGGCTTTGTTTGTGTGAATATCATGTTGATATTCTCACAGTTCTGTAACATTGTTGGTGCAAAGTTAAGAAATAGAATGCATAAATACTTCTTTGTGTTTTTACTAAGTGTATCTCATTTTAAAGCAGACAACCATTCTAATAGAAATGTAAGAAATATAATATTGTACAAATGCAGTCTTGAGGCTTTTCATGTGCTTTTAAAATGCAAGTCACCATCTAATTATATAAGTTTAAGTTTCATGATGCTTAGTTAATATATGTAATACGGGCCGTGAATGAACCCAGTAGACCATTCTCCTAGTACAATATGGTTTCCAGCTTTTGAATGAAATGCATTTGCTTCTTCGTTTATCCTTTTGTTTTCATCTTTCTATTATTTTCGTCATTCATTCTGTTTTTCCTTTCTCTATTTATTTAGGAAACATGCCTTGAATTGCCACCGAATGAAACCTGCTCTTTTCAGTGTGCTATGTGATATTAAAGAAAAAACAGGTTTGTTTTTTCATTTTTTATCTGAAAACTAATAGTTCCAGCTAATAAATTGGATGTAGTTTATGTACAAAAATATCCTAGTTCTTAAACTGACTCCTGATATTTGAACCAATAATTATGAATTAATTAGGACTTTGGCAGTCTAAATCTTTGTATAGGATTCTGTTCCTAAATTATTTGTAAACTGAATATTTTAAGGCTGCAAAGTGTTGTACAACTTTGTGCAATATTTTGTGTTTGGTTCAGAAGAAATCTTTTTTTTCTCTTGCCTTTTTAAAATAAACATAAACAAGTACCTAGTGTATTTTCATCAGTCAAGAAATCAACCTGATATCAACCTGCATTTACTGTCCCTCCATGCTAATTTTATTAATGGCATTTATTTAATATCACCCACTGCTATCAGATGTGCAATGACAAGTGATGTTCAGTTACTTTTTTTCAATGTTTTATTCTGCTATGTTAAACTTCTTGTGTTTTTTTCTTTTGATTGAATTTGAATTTAGTATGATGATGATTATATGTAAAATTAACCTTTTTACAGACAAACAATTTTATGGGATAACCAACTTGTTGAACACCAAAGGCCACAATGGAAATGTCTTGCTCTAGAGAGCTGTATAGCTAATTTGTATAATTTAATTTCTGTATAATGAATATAATTTGCATATCATTCATATTAACACAGTCACCATGATAATAGCAGGTGATGCCTTTTATGCTGTGTCTGGCATAAAATCGTTTAGCAGTCTCAGGTGACACGACATAAAGATCTGTAAATAGCAGATAATGTTGGCTGTCATTTGGACTGAAGGGCTTCTAAAATTCATGTGACTGGCATATCTCACATACTGCTTTTCCCCTTTTTAGTGAATAATTCATGTGTCCTTGTAAATAAGTTAGATGAAGGGGTTTTAGCCTGTCCTTCATCCTAGAGAATGATTTAAGTAAGGAATAGTTGCTTACCTGGAATGAATGCTTATTTCCCTGGGTGTTATAGTGGGTGGTTGGATTGTCTTCTGGCCCTACGGAGTTAACATATGAATTGCTTATATTTGTGGGCCAAATGAACAGGAGGACAGGGCTCCTATACTTCTAATAATTACTCAGAAGAAGGAAAATCGTCATGCAGGAATGAAAAAAAAAGTTACCTGCTCTGCAGCACCCTTCTGAACAGTTGTTCACATAAATCTTCTCTTCCTTTGCTTATTCTAGAATTAGCACGTAAGATATCTCTACATAGGGCATCTCTGTCATTTCTGAATCAGTCCCATATACTTTTGTGATCTCAGTGTTTCTCTCTGGCATCCAAATTAATTTATTTCTGCCTAAGTGGTTCCACAGGAACTATAGTAAATCCAAATAGATGTTCAGGATCTCATTGGAACTCTAAGGTAGGCCATTCTCCCATGAGTTGAAACTCTTGTTTAATTCTGTTTTCTGGATTTCCCTCCTTTCTCACAGAAATTAAGTTGCAGTAATTAGGAAGTTGTGGTGTCTTGTTAGTTTTGTAGGTTCCCCTCCCAGTTTTGAATACAGATGTTTTGAAGGTTAAACTGAAAACACCATAAATAGAGATATGGCTTTGATTAAATGCCTTTTGTTTCTACCTATTAATAAGTTGGATGGGCATTGATTGCTTTATGTACCATTCTCTGTTTCAGAGCATCAGTGGTAAGAATTACCATTTCTAAGGGTTTCGTGAGCAAAAATAGTGTGATGAGGATATTAGTATTACAATAAATGAACAAGAGTATTATTGAGCCCTTTTTCAGTGGAATTTGCATGGAAATTCAGTGGAATTTAGGATGGATTGTAATTTTTGCACTATATTCATTTGTCTCTCGTTCTAATGATACTGCTCAGAATAAATGGTCTGTAATGAATTGCCCTTTTGTTTTACATTCCTAAACATTTCTTTTCATTGTATTATTCTAAGCATATTTTTAAAAAATTCTTACGCTACTTTCCATATGAAATGCACTTGATCTTTAAATATGCAAGGTGATAACAGAAATTTCAATAATCCTACTACTGACTGTAAAATAAACTTATAATCACCCTTATATAAATTAATAACTTACCTGAAATTCTTGCCTCATAACTGAGATTACATTTTACATCAGATACCCATATTTTTTGGAGTATAAGACGCACCGGCGTATAAGACACACCAAGGTTTTGAAGAGGCAAATTAAAAAAAAGTTTTTGCACTCTGCAGACCTCCTAAAATGGCCCGTTTTTTGTGAAAACGGCCCAGTTTTGGTCAAAAAAGGGCATGAATAGCCTTTAGGAGGCTTATAGAGTGCTCCTGGTGGTCGGGGGGGGGGAGAGGGGGGCAGGATTGAGCAAAAAATGGCCTGTTTTTTGCTCATTTCTGCCCTCCCCAGCCCCCAGGAGCACTTTGCAAGACTCCAAAAGGCTATGCACAGCTATTTTGATGAAAATGGCGTGGTTTCAGGAGGCAAAAATGCTGTATTTAGTGTATAAGATGCATCCAGATTTTCAGCCTCCTTTTTGAGGGAAAAGGGTGCATCTTATACTCCGAAAAATATGGTAGCTTATTCTTCTAAAGGAGAGAGAAGAACCAAAAAGTGAGGGCTGATACAATAGTGGCTTTCTTGTTGTCTGTGATAAATTTAGTTAACTTTCTATCTGCTGTATCATTTTACAGATGTTTTTAAAAAACATTTTCAAAACTTGGTAAACTAGGGATTGCCAGATTGCACATGTAACCCTGTTAAAACTTGCTTTGCAATTTTCTCCTTGTTTTGCTTGGGCCAAGTTGCAATGGGCACTTGTAGTGTTATTCATATAAAAAGAATTACACAAATTGTTGTATCATTATAGGGCTTCATATATTTTAAAATTTCAGAACCCTGGTATTTAACCACTAAAATAAAGAAGAAACAACAAAATGGAGATAATGCATAATGAAAAATAATGTCTCTTCCATCCCCTTATAGTCTCAATATTTATATTTAGACTTAGATTTTTCATTTTAAATTTGTCTATTGTTCACTCAGATCACGTATGTTTTATTAATTTCTTAAGACTAGTGGTTCATGGAAAATGTTAGTGGCCAAATTTCAAATGATTTGCAAATTCTAATTTTGTGATATACATATTATATGTATACATAGTTATATGTATAATAATGTATCAGTATTATACATTGATATGTAATACAGGAAGGTAGCTTTGCTTTTTCCAGGTAATTTAAGTGAATACTAAGAGATGGGCCAGTGAAAGACAATATTCTTGATCGCTTTTTCCTTTTGAAATGCTATGCGTTCCTTAGAAGAAAAGAGTCAGCATTGGCTATATTGATTTTTCTGAGTCTTTTCTAGTCCCTAGAAACACTGCACAAAAAGGAACCAAGGCTTGCTTGCATTAAATGGGAACTTTACCAATAGCTTTCTTATAATAGCAATTGCCTTTTATGGCAGGATAGCTCTGCAAAATTAGAATGTGGGTGTTTAAATTTCTCTTTTTCCACAGCTGAAAAGGCACTGATTCAAAACCTTTATTTTAATGAAATGTGCTTCCTGCTAGAACTTACCTCTCTGGCTGGGCAGTTTGTATTTTTTTAAACCCTCAAGTTGCAATTCATTTTAATGTGAACATATTTGAACCAAGGGATTGCAGCCCCATAGTTACAGAGGATTTGTTTAGGTCTCATAGGTTTTTGAATGTCTGATGGCCTGTCTGTTCCTTATTTAAATTATGGAGAGCAGATGTTATGGCTTTGAGCAAACAAAGACCTGATCATACTGTAGTAATAGGGCTGATGCTCAATTTTAACTATTTAGGAGCCCAAGCTTGCTTTTAACTCTGAATCAATGTGAAGTATGTGGCTTTTTGTTTGTGTTCATGTTCCTTGTCTTTCCCTATGTTACCTTCTAACATCCACATTTTTACCATTAACATTGTAAGAACAATAGAGTGTGGTGAGTCTCTCTCAGAAAATATATTCTGTTATTCCTTTGTGACCATAAAGAAATTGGCTTTGATTTTTAAATGTGTGAATTAATACAAGGTTTAAATACAAATACATTGTATTTTTGGATGAGGGGATATCATCAGATTGCACTGATCCTTGAATATCCTGGTGTACAATATTCTCTATTTTCTTTCTTTAGTGAAGAAACACAGAAAGTGAAATGTGTTAAAACAATTGCAGACGGTTCTGCTAAGAAAAAAAAAGATACTTCTATGGCCTAGATATGTCTGTGAAGCAATTCCATGTGGACTGCTATAACCATATCACAGTTGTAGCAAGCATGGTAAAATGTTGTGACCATGTTTATTTTAAGAATAGAAAAGTAAAAAAGAATTAATTTACATCTTAATGCTTGAGTATGCTGCTTAGCGACAAGAGAAAATAACCATATGCACAAAATATAATTTTGGGCTGCAACACGTCTGTCTGAAAAACTATCTCTGGAATATAGATGTTATTTCTTTTCTTTTTTTTAAAGTCACCAATATAAATTAGGTTAATGCAATATATGTTCTAGTGGAAGGAGTTCAAAATACTGCAGTGGTCGGCAAACCGCAGCTCGCGAGCCACATGTGGCTCTTTGGCCCCTCTCCTGCGGCTCCCTGCTGACCCAATCGCGCAATCTGCTTCCCTCCCCAGAGAAGGCATGAGCCTCTCGCCTGCTTTTGCGATTCTGCGTCCTTCGCAGGAAACTCAGTGTCGGGAAGAGCTCCAGCCCTTTTCTCACGCTCATCTCTCGCGCACACGCAAGCAAAATACCCTCCTGGCCAGGATCAAGGTGGAGGGGATAATGACTCTCCCGCTGTCGCCACTGCGCAATGAGGTGAGTAACAGGGTATGCAGTGCAGGGGAGCCATGCTGCGCAGGAGACTCCTCAGCGCCAGACTCAGGTCAGCGTGAGCTGCTGTCCCCTTTGTGTTGGCTCAGGAAGGAGGGGAATGGGGAGCAGCAGCAGCTGGTTGGGTGCAGGGAGGAAAGAGCTCTAGCTCTCCTGCGCTGCACAGGGCTCTCCTTGCGCAGGGCTCTTGAACTCTTCCCTCTCTGCATCCAGATATGGCTGTTGCGGCTCCTTCCTGAGCCAACACGAAGGGGACCGTGGCGCAGTGGTTAAATGCAGCACTGCAGGCTACTGCTAGATCATCAGTTCAGCGGTTCAAATCTCACCGGCTCAGGGTTGACTCAGCCTTCCATCCTTCCGAGGTGGGTAAAATGAGGACCCAGATTGTTGGGGGCAATATGCTGACTCTCTGTAAACCGCTTAGAGAGGCCTGAAAGGCCTATGAAGCGGTATATAAGTCTACTGCTATTGCTAGTCTACTGCTATTGGCGCTGACCTGAGTCTGGCGCTGAGCAGTCTCCTGCGCAGCATGGCTCTCCTGTGCAGCGCAGCCAGCTACTCACTTTTCAGTGGCGGCAGCGGAAGGAGTCGCTGTCCCTGCTGCCGTGATCCCAGCCCAGGAGGGTATTTTGCTTGCACATGCAAAAAAGAGATGAAAAGGAAAAGGGGAGAAAGAGAGAGAGAGAAATGAAAGAGAGCTGGAAGGAGAGAATGGGAGAGAGGGAAAAGAGAGGGAAACAAATTAGAGAGAGAAGGGGGAGAGAGAAATGAAAGAGATCTGAAGGGAGAGAATGAGAGAGAGGGAAAATAGAGGGAAACAAACCAGGGGGAAAGAAAGGAAGAGGAAAGAAAGAAAGGAAGGAAGAAGAGAAAGAGAGGAAAAATAGAGAAAAACAGAAATGAAAGGGAGGGGG